TAAGAAGTATCCTGAAATATAACTTCTTGCCAACAAAATAAAAACAAAAATTGCGACTTTTGGGTCAATACAATATTATATTTCAATTATAATGATATTAGTATAGTGTATCAATTAAAAAAATATTGGAAACTTTGTGTATTTTCTCTTTTATTTAGTGAAGTGCAAATTACTATCCCTCCATATCACATAATATTGATTTGTATAAATTGATTTAAACAATTCGGTAATATTCTTTTAAAATATTTAAATATCGAAATCGTTTTTTGTTCCTAAATAAAAATTAATTAATCTAAATATAAGAGCATTTTTTTTGGGGGCAATAGGTTAATACCCTTATGTAATATTGAAATTTTAATACCATGTTTTTCAAGAGCATGTAATATTCTTTCAGGTCTGTATAACATTGTACTTCTGCGAAAGCAACAACAAATTAAACATATCAATTAAATATGTACAATTAATATATTTTACGTTGTGAGCAATTATAGTATACAATTCGAATACAAAAATTGAATATGTACAATATAATGATTATAATCCATACATAATAATCCATAAAAGAAAACATGTCAGTTTATCAATTGGAAATGATACGTGGATGCGTGCACTAGGATAATTATTTAGTGTAACTTGCAATTCATGTAATTAAGAATACGCAATTCTTATACTGAACAATCAATTCAAACAAATGTATAAACTTGTGGATAATAATTGATGGATTCTGTATGTGACATTCCAAAATATATATGTTGACATTAGGACCACTGATCAATGAAATGTTTTTGCAAAAAATTGGTTATTGTTCATGTACATATTTCTCACGAATGGACAATTGGATTTAAATCATAATAATTGGATTTGAAGAACGATGAGTTGTAAACTCATGTCCAAATTTTATATGATCGGATCATGAAACGCTGAGATATCAATGTTTTGTTCATAGCCGTGCTAGCTCTCTAGATATTTCGAATTTCTACACCGTTGACTTAGAATTCTCTCTATTTTGGGTGAGTTTTTTCCTACTGATAACATGTTAAAATTAAATGAATAATAGAGAATTACAAGAGAAAGAAATAGAGTGTGTCAAAATTTAGGCGTATATTTTAATGATAACCAAGTTCCCATATTTATAGGATTCAAAATAAAAATTATAATCAAAGTAGAATAAACTTTTTCAAATTACATAGGACTTATCTAATGGTCCGTTTGATTGTAAGAATAAAATATATGTAGAAAGAAAATGAATTTTGGAAAATTGAATTACCTATAACTTATTTTGCTGGGAATTGTCAATTAAATGTGTTTGATTGATATAATTTTTCATCTGAAAAATATTGAGATTTTGGATCTTTTGATGTTCGTTTGACTTTGTTTTTCCATGAAAATTGTTAATTAAAGGGATATGATTTGTTACAATTGTGAATATAATTTGTTTCCATTGCCGAAAATAAAAAAAAAATAAAAAAAAAAGGAAAGAAAGTTGAAAAACACTTTTCCATCAAAACCAAAGGAAAATAAATTCCTTAAAAACCAAGAAAAAAGGGAAATTGGGGGGGGGGGGGGGGGG